GTCGGATTCACTGCTTCATATTCATCTTTTTCTTTGTGACGCTTAGCTTGATTTGCAACGAATTCATCCAATGACTAAAGCAGAAACTGGACACAAAAATATTAAATAATTCATTTGTTCACTATCAAATTGCAATCAGGCGATTTCTTTAAAAAGACGTTCATCAATAGACACATGAGTAAAGTCTCCTATCAGCTCGCACTTAAAATCTGGTGGCTGCATCACCGGCTGAATCCTTGTGGATTTGAACCCAGTTTTTTATAAAAGCGTTGATCAGTACGTACGGATGCACAGACACCCAGGCTTTTTTCACCAGATTCATGACCATGAGAATGTCCACCTCGGATTTCATGATACGTTGCTCATCTTCGATCAAAGATAAAACATAGTTCCATGTTTCCAAAACGAACATTTGAAAGATCACATCATAAACTGATTCATCAGTTAGGAGGCAGCCGTATTAATTTGACATTGGAGAATAATACGGGCGTTATCAATAAATAGTAAAAAAGCGCGCCTTTGAGAAACCATTTTGCGGTTGATATCGGACAGCCAACTGTAAAATAACGCAGAAGTCATCGGTGCATTTTTTGAAGAGTTATAATTAAATGTAACGGCTTTTCTTTCTATACCTCGGAGGCATCATGAAGTTTTGAAACTTTCCAATCACCAAAGGTGATAACTTTTATCCAGTCATGCTCTCACAAAGTAGTAACGTGATGCGCTCTGTATTTCTTTTATCCAGAAACTGTTTTTTGTTTCTTTCTTTGTACGATTGAATGCCATATCTGTCTTACCAAGGGCGCAACCAATCTTTGGAAGCCTTGAAGTCACTATGATACAATCTTTGAGAGAGCTGGATTGCCTTCTTACGTACGATGCTCTCCACCATGCATTTCCCTCATAGCAGTAAACCAAGCCAAAGTTGCCTCATTCACTGCATGGATTTTTTTCGTTGGTTTTCAGGTGGCATCTTTCTTCAGATACTCCAACATTCAAAAAGGTCCCCGATAGTCGTTCAACGGGATGCAACATTGTAAACAGTTTTTCGTGAAATTCCAAACGATTTGGCTATGGAGCTCGGAGTTGCACCTGGCTGACTCAGCATTTCTAACATATTCTGCTTCTCTGATCGATAGGCGCTTGCATATTTTGCCGTCAAATGACACTGTCTCCGATCACTTGCGTCTGTGTCTTCCTCGGAAGGATTATACAATCAGTGAACAGCGCCATGGATGTATCGCACTAGGTGTAACGCCATTGGTTTCAAAACGGTCATTCAGTTTACTCCTCATGGATGACACCATTTTCCATAACATAGCCGCAGCATTCTCTGATGAAAAACTGCGATCGCTTCCTCTAAACTGCTCTTCAAGTTTGTCCTTCGGATGTTTGTTTCTGATATTTTCATTGGAATTCGTGTTTTCTTTGGTGGAAAACGAGCACTCGAACAGAGAAGCCGAGGTGGACATTCTCACGGCCATCCATCTAGTCATCAAGGCCTGTATGTCTGTTCATCCGCGCGTACTGATCCACTCTTCCATGAAAGACGTGTTCAAACCCATGTTCAGTTCAGTTCAGTTCAGTTTGCACAGGACGATGTGTGGCCCGGGCCAATCTTGCGTCCAGATTGATGTGTTGTTGGCTGTTCTTGTGGCTTCCAACACTGCGAGTCAATAGGTTTTTTCTGAAAGGCAGAAAGTAAGGTGCAGTATCACGTCCNGCGCTCAGGAATAATAGGTACTTACCATCAAACTGCTTCAGGGAAGGTAGAAGCCTAACAGTCATCTAATGCCCTCTTGAAGGCAATGACGTTCGAGCAACTTACCACCTTTTCTGGCAGACTATTCCAGTAAGGTATTACGCGACTTGTGAAGAACTTGGCTCGAATGTCCAGTCTTACAAGACTACGTTGCAGCCTTAAACTATGTCCCCTAGTGCCACTTGAGGGGATGAACTGGAACATGTCCTCGAACTTAAGTCCGGAGAGCCCGTTGATGATCTTAAAGACTTCTATTAGGTCCCCCCTTATTCTTCTTCTTGCCAGAGAGAATATTCAATCAAATACTAATGACGTCACCCGAGAACAAATGCGATAACACTGACCTCGTGCGGGGCTTTCGAATTCAGCCGTGTCAAAACTACCATCTGATATTTTCCCGATTACACTGTGGTATACTGCGTTCTATCCCCAAAATATTTTATCGAATCAATTCATTCAACGTTTCAAGGTCGAATGCCGTCCTACGGTCACACATTTTTGATCTCCCTACGTTTTATCGCGTGTGGAAACCAATATTCATGGTTTGCGCATTGTGTTCGACATCGCTACAATCAAAGGAGGAAAAAGGGAGCAGAACAACAAATAAAACACAGTGCTGGTTGGAGGGTTGCTCTCAGACGGCGTCCCATTAACAGACTGACTGATACCGTTAGTATTTCCAGAAACATGCGCTCACTTCTCGGAAAAATTGATGAAGTCAAAAGTATTTGACACTGAAACCAGTACAACACACCATCCAATTGTACTGACAACTCCTCTCGATGAGCAAAGAATTGAGGATACTTTCTCTTTACCTCTGGCAACCACCCTTTCTTGATCGCTGAGAGTATCGCCGAGGATTACTGCTTGGTAGATTTGCGTAAAGATTCCCGAGACACTGGTGATGCTGGAGAGATGAAAAGACACTGTTCGGCCTCAGAAAATCGTGAGTAGCGAGAGAGGAAATCAGTCTGCGAGATTGTCTTTCCTGGACGATGTTGGATGTCATAGTTATATGCGGCTAGAGCGATACTCCACCTCTGTAGCATAGCAGCAGTCGACTTCGCGATGGATTTGTTGGGGTTGAACAAGAATTGTAGCGCTTGGTGATCAGTGATGATGGTAAACCGCAATCCGAAAAGGTACTTGTGCAATCGTCGAACAGCCCAAAATACAGCCAACGCTTCTTTTTGAGTCTGTGAGTATCCCTTTTCTGCCGCATTGAGTAGACGTGAAATGCAGATCACTGGGCAACCTTCTTGTTCTAATACAGCACCGATTCCGACGTCGGACGCATCGGTGATTAGTATAGTCGGTTTTGACGGTGAACAGGACGATCAGTAACGCAGCGAATTAAACCACGTAAGACATTGTCACACTCGACTGACCAATCACAAGCGTCAGAACACTGAGCAAGGAAAAGCGGCTGCGCCCTTGTAGGAAAGTTCGGGATTAATCGGGAATAGTACTGTAGGCATCCCATCAGGTATTTCAAATGATACAGAGGTGGAGTATCGCTCTAGCCGCATATAACTATGACGTCCAACATCGTCCAGGAAAGACAATCTCGCAGACTGATTTCCTCTCTCGCTACTCACGATTTTCTGAGGCCGAACAGTGTCTTTTCATCTCTCCAGCATCACCAGTGTCTCGGGAATCTTTACGCAAATCTACCAAGCAGTAATCCTCGGC